GAATGTTATGATGAAGTGCACGACAACACAACCCTGCAGCTGTTAAAGTTCACTCCTTGATCCATGTGAACTGTTCTACATACTCGCAGTTGTTACCTACCATTAAGCTTAATTATCAGTAATGTACTTTGTTGAAGTGTCAACAGTGGACAAGTTTGGTACACTTGGTGTAGTAATCAATAACAAGCAGTACATGCCAATTATTCTCACCACCAGAAACAAGCTATAATCAGAGCTACTCTTTGCAATCGAGATTTTAAAACTCACTGATGGAGATAAACCTGGTGTGGACAGCTATTCCTCTGAGCACCAAATACAGTAAAGTGCTCACATAACGTCTCCACAGTTTTGTACACTGACATTAGTGTGATGTACACCCTTTAGTCATTACAGTGCTGGGATGTGCGCCATAGTTTACATGCATGCCTCATTACAATTACTTGTCTGTAAGGTTACACTGTGAAGTCCCTTGAAGTGCTCAGAGTAGTCTGAGGGATATATTTTTATTGTCCAGTATGACCTAACAGTAGCTGGATCCAGATCTCGTATATTGAACTCATTGATACCTTTCAGTATGTGCAGACATTCATCTTTTTGTAAAAGAAGAGCATTGTTGCATTTGACTATGTCCACTGTTCCACTTATCAACAGTAGACATTGTTGGCAACTTATCTATTACCAAACCTGCCAACAAGCGACTTATCCACCATTCAATTTATCAACAATAGACATTGTTATACTGTAGGAAAAATTGACAATAAACAACGTAACCATCACCGAACCGGCCAAAAGTAAACACTGTTACATTGTAGAATACGTTGCCAACAAGCAACTTATCCACCATTCCACTTATCAAGAGTAGAAATTGTTATATTGTAGAAAAAGTTGCCAACAAACAACCACCGTTCCGCCTATCAACAAGACATTGGTATTTGAATGGAGAGGGTAATTAACAAGACACGGTTAAATCTTTTTTTTTTTTCAGATATATCTAGCCGATAATGTTTTCATATGCACAGAAATAATGAGAAGAAAATGTTTTTCTACATGAACTTGCATGTTTTTAAAAACATGAAAACAAACTACATATAATACAGGACATCTCAATCGTGCTAAAAAATCTAGATAACAGCGTTTTTGATAAAAGAGTTAGCACAAAGGATCACATATAAAGTGTAATAGACTTAAAATAAGACCCAAAGCTTGAGTGCTTTCGAATAGTTGACTATTCTTCTTCAGGAGAACAAAGGGTGACCTTAGCCCTAGCGCTAGAGTTTTGGGTCTTATTTTAAGTCTAGATAACAGCGTAATGTTTAAACCAGATGAGCTTCAATTACGATAAAAGAATGGGATATTACAACTTCAAACAAAGTCTGTTGATTTATTTGTTAACGTATAATCAAATAATTGAAACTAGCGTTAACTTAATTGTCCGTATAATGCAGTTACGTCATAAGCAATGAATATATTTGATGTGTTTTCACTCCTCAACTCGCCAGTGACGTCATCATAGCCCGATACTTGACTGCTAAAAAAGTAAACACACGTATTAAAACTATTATCATGAACAATGAGCTCGAACAGTTTCGAGTTTCACAACTGTTCTAAAATCACGTTCAGAAAATATTTTCACTTTTTAAATAACCACACATTGTAATTTTGCAAATTAAATGTTGGCATTTTAAGTTATTACTCATGAAATCAGTTATAAACCAATTATTACATCTAATGGTAAACCTTGATCCTAAGCTCAGTGTTAAACTTTATTCTTTAATCTAGTATTAAACCAAAATCATAAATCTCTTACTAAACCCCAAATCTAGTGCTAAACCTTGACTTTAAAGCTATTCGTAAACCTTAACCTTGGGCTTAGAGCTGCTGCTAAGCATTAATCTTAGAGGTAATTTAACTCTTAATCCTAATGCTAGTGGAAAGCCTATATGTTACAATCAATTTCAAGCCTTGACACGTGCTAAAACAAAGTTTGAATATAAAGTCAGTGCTATGAAGGAATATACTAAACATATACTTTAAAAACTGTAGGTGTTATATTTTGATTCCTCAGTAAACACCCATGTAACATACGTTCTACGTGCTTTAATAGTTTCTTCCTTAACAGACAGACAAACTGTTAACTTGACAGTTCGTTTCTAAGTCAGCATTTTCCGGTAAAAGATCCGCGTTTTGAAACATCCGGGAAATCACACCCATACGCGTTGTCTTTTGTCTATAAGAAAGATAGAAAACTTTATATTTCAGTCTTAAGTTCAACTGTTTATGTATCTTTTGTTGGAATTGAGTCGTTGAGAGAATAAGACGTAAGTAAGATAATTTTTATCTTTGTTTGGTTACTGCAAAACTGAAAGTAAGACTAAACAGGTGTCGATATAATAGTAAAACTCTGTTCTTCATCGGTTTTATATGTAACATACAATACAATACCTGTATTATTGTACACTAGTACATTCCATTACAGTTCATTCTAACTGATAAACTTAAATATGATCGTATATAATATTAAATTGAAACATTTTGTTTGTTTGTAATTAAGCACAAAGCTACACAATGGGCTATCTGCCCACCACGGGTATCGAAACCCGGATTCTAGCGTTGTAAGTCCGCAGACATACCGCTGTGCCATTGGGGTGCTTGCTTGATAGAAGTAATATATATATACTCTTTATTCTCTCTTAAAATTGGTGTTGAGTTCATAGAATGAAAATACCAAATATATATTAGTGTTATTCTTCTCTTCTTGTATTGTTTGTTTGAAGCTAAGCAAAAAGCCACACAATGGGCTATTTGTGCTCTGCCCACCACGGATATTGGAACCCGGTTTCTAGCACTGTACGTCCGCAGACATACCGCTGTGCCACTGAAGGGCTCTTCTTGTATTAATTTTTTTAAACAGAATGTATACAGTTAAGAATATTTCTGCGATGCTCTGGAGTTATGAATTTAAAAAAAAAATTGACAAAATAACAAGATGCTAGATGATACTAATATGTGTTCAATACCGAATGGTAAGAGATACTAGAATATATCTATTGATCAATGTCATAAGATACTAGCATGTACGTTTTCACGAATGGTAAAAGATACTAACATATATATTAACGAATGGTAGCAGATGAAAGCATTTATATATTAACGAATGGTAGAAGATACTAGCGTATATATATATTAAGGAACGGTAGAAGAAACTCGCATGTATGTATTAAGGAACGGTAAAATATGCTAGTATCTATATACTAACGAACGGTAGAAGATACTAGTGTGTATATATTTAAAACGGTAGAAGATATTAGCGTGTATGTATATTAACGAACGGTAGAATATACTAGCATGTATATATTCAAAATGGTAGAATATACTAGCGTGTATATATTCAAAACGGTAGAATATACTAGCATGTATGTATTAAATACATACATGCTAGTATATTCTACCGTTTTGAATATATACACGCTAGTATATTCTACCATTCATTAATATATACACACTAGTATATTCTACCGTTCGTTAATATATAAATACTAGTATATTCTACCGTTCAGAATGGTAGAATATACTAGTGTGTATATATTAAAAACGGTAGAATATACTAGCATGTATGTGTTAACAAACCGTATAATATACTAGTATGTATATATTAGCGAACGGTAGAATATACTAGTGTGTATATATTAAAAACGGTAGAATATACTAGCATGTATGTATTAACAAACCGTATAATATACTAGTATGTATATATTAGCGAACGGTAGAATATACTAGTGTGTATATTTTAAAAACGGTAGAATATACTAGCATGTATGTATAAACAAACCGTATAATATACTAGTATGTATATATTAACGAACGGTAGAATATACTAGCATGTATATATTAACGAACGGTAGAATATACTAGCGTGTATATATTAACGAACGGTAGAATATACTAGCATGTATATATTAACGAACGGTAGAATATACTAGCATGTATATATTAACGAACAGTAGAATATACTAGCATGTGTATATTAACGAACAGTAGAATATACTAGCATGTGTATATTAACGAACGGTAGAATACACTAGCATGTATGTATTAAAAACGGTAGAATATACTAGCGTGTATATATTAAAAACGGTAGAAGATACTAGCATGTGTGTATATTAACGAACGGTAGAATATACTAGTGTGTATATAAATGAACGGTAGAATATACTGGCATGTATATAAGTAATAAACCCAGCACTCTGGACGCGCGCGCTGATTGGTTGCCTCAGGGGAGAGAAGAGGTGATGTCATCAAAGCTGACGATATAATAGTTCCAAGTTTTGTCACAAGATGCGAGTCGTTAAGCCGCCATCACAGGTGGCCATGTTGTCATAGTGTTGAAATTATAATTCGATACCAGACAGACGGCCATAATGGATGATTACATAATATTACCACGAAATCGAGGATGACTCATACAAAACATGTTTCAACAAGAATTTATTAATTAATTCGTCCAAAGAAGGATTATATCTTAATTGAAACTTACTCGAGCAATTAAAGATTTCAGTAATATTATCATAATAAAAAATCTGGAGGACACTTAAGATTAATGCATTTATAATTAATTCGTTCTAAAAAGGACGATACAATAATTAAAACTTATTATTCAAAGATTTTCAGTACTAAATTATTAGATACATAATACACTTATAATTAATTCGTCCTAAAAGGATGATACAATAATCAAAACTTAATGAATGAAGTATTTTCAATGACATGAAATATTATTTATTGTAACATGATCACAACATGCATTTTTACTACACACACGATACATGTCTGTAGGGTTAAGTTGACGCTTTAATGCAACAAAATCGTTAATAAAACGTTTATTATGTAATAATTAAAACTTTTATTAGTTTGGGACAAAATATTTTACACACGTTACACGAGATTTCCACATGTCAAAACCATTATTTTAACGACTGTTCGTACGATTGTATACAAGTCATCAACGTCTACATTTAATTATGTTAAAATGCTTTATCTGTAATAAAAATAATAAATGAGTGTCTTACTACTTATCCATCCGTTATCTTATAGGCATTTCCAGATGTACGAAATACATAACTTCTTTCATGTTCTGTAGGACAGTGTTTCACAAATCATACATAACCAATAATCGCTCTATGTTACTATTTGAAATACCAGAACTTTCAGATTGTCTAAGACACTATCAGGAAACACACATACAAATCTCTACACGTTGTTTCACGATTATAATAAGTACACAAGATTAAAGAACCCGAACTGATGTTAATCTAGTTAAACCTTAATACCGTTTAAGTTTTCTTTGCACACAGTTGTAAAAAGAAAGTTTTGTGACAGTACTTTGGACATATTGACGTCCCCAACACACAGTTTACCAAGTGTGACTCATTCAAAGGTCAGTTCTGAGTTGACCAAGTCTATGTGGTTTGCAAAGTAAGTACTGTGTTGCAATGTAGGAGTAGAGCAGAGTTTGAAGAAATACAAGTAAAGCGTGGTCGCATTCTGGAATGATCCAAGGACCATAAATTATAAACCAAGTGATTAAAGTTTTAATAACAATTCAGTGTTTGTCATACATCCTTAATAGAACATCGGTTACTATAATCACTATATAAATTTAATAAGAACCTCTAAATAATATTCATTTTACATATCTCTAATCGCATTCAGTTATAGACCGTAAGTTATATCTATATATATTTAATAATGTACACCATACTTTAAATAGTTTTACTGAAGTCAGCAATGCAAGTAAAATCTTGGACATAATTGTTCACAAAACTTCAAAATACACTAAGATATTATTTACAAAACTTCTTAATTTATAAAATATTGATATACACCTTAATATAATAATACCTGTTATATATTCATGTTCAAGTAGATTACAATAAATGAAACATAAGGGGCAAGTAATAAAAGTTTTCTTTATTTTAGAATCTATACAAAACATTTGAAAACTAAATCCGCCGTACAGTTTAAAATTGACCTTCAAAATGCAAGTAAAGACTTGTAAAGTGTCACACATACTCAAATAGTAGGCAATATTTAAATTTTTACTCATATGACGGTGTAAATCAAATAAATCTATTAAACTCATATAGACAGGGAATGCACCAAAAACCAGTATTTCGATCGTTAATACAAAACGGACAAACAACCTAGAAATTCTATTTCAAGTTTCTTATGATAAAAGATAATACAG